TGTGGTTCTTCAGATGGTAAATTTTCACTTCCCTGAGATAGTCCTAATCTGGTCAGGATGAAATTGAACAGAGTCCTGGTGACTGTGGGAACACCAAACTGAGCCTCAGCACGTGGTGATTCCCTGCTTTAGGCTGGGAAAGGGAATGTGCCATGGGAATTGCACCATTTGGAGCCAGCTCATGCAGGGTTGGTTCCTTGGCATCCCCCAGGGTCCACCAGCCCCTGGCACCCACAGCAGATGCCTCCTCCAGAGGGTCCATGAGCTGGGTCATGAATTCCTTCAACTTCCAGAAGCTGGAAGAGGCTCAAATCCTTATCTAACCCAGCTGAGGACTATCTGCTTTTTCAGGGAAACTTCCAGGCCCTGAAGGCCTCAGGGCTGTTGGCCACTGGGACCCCTCGAGCTGCCAGAGATGTGACCTCCTGGGAGCACTGGGAGCAGATGTTATTGGCTGCCACTGCTCTCACACCATTTCCCTGGGACTGAGCTCCCTGACAGTGGGAAATAACCCTCTGAGCAGAGTCATTCCCCACAGCAGCCCAGGGTCATTCCCCACCTCACCCCAAAGCCTCAAACCCACTCCCTGCCTGGTGAGATCCCTTCTCCAGCTGCCACTGCCAGGACAACGCTTGGAGGGGCCAAAGTGATGCCAAGCCCAAGCCCTCACCCCACTTCCCTGGGGTTTTCCTGCTCCTAGGCAGCACTATCCTCTTTTCCCAATCCCAGGCACAGCTTTCTGTGAATCCTCTCTCTCCCTGCAGCTCCTGGTGCAGTGAGCTGTGCTTTCCAGGCACACTCTGCCTTCCCAGACAGGATTCCTGGCAGAGTCCCCACTGTACAGCGTGTCCCTCCCCCCCTGCCACCCTGCACATCCCTGCTGCTCCCGGCAGGACCTCGCAGCGACCAGGATCTCTGCAGGGCTCCCCGGGGGAAGAGCATGTTTTGGCTGGGAAATGCCTGTGGAAAGCAAGGAGAAAGCAGCCCGGGGGAGGCTGGCACCTGCCAAGCTCCACTAAGCAATTCCAGGCTCCTGGGAGGACCTGGGAGCGCTGGGCTCCTCCTTTCCTCTCCTTGGGGGAGGAAATGCTTGGCGAGGCCTGGAGGAGCTGTCTCCAAAGTGCACAGGATGAGGACTGGGGGGGCTGTGACAGCTTCCACCACTTTGCAGGATACCCCCCAGGGCAAGGCTGGCACTGGGATGAGCCTTGTGGTATGGAGAGCCCCAAACCCTCTGCCCAACCCTGGGGCACACTCAGCACACTCCCCTGTCCCATCCCCTGCACCCACCCCTGGCTCAGCCTCGGGGGGATGGATGAGACCCCCATCCCGGGAGGATGGGCACAGCCTGCAGAAGTGCCAGCCTGGCATCTCCCTGCTGCCAAGCTGGAGACAAATTCCCACTGTCACAGTGGCCCTTTGCTAGGCAATTTATTTACCTTGGATGCTGCAGCCTTATCGTTCATGGAAATGTTTATCCCAAATATTTAATAGCAGGACTGCATAAACTGAGGCTTCCTGGGAAAGCAGCCCAGGCTGCCATCGGAGCAGGGCGAAAGTCTCTGCTCCTGTCCTGGAAAAGTGAAGGAGAATGTCTCGTTTCACCCAAAGAATCCCATCCTCAGCACCTCAAAAATCCGATAGCTTTTCATCTAGCCAGAGGCCTCATCACTCCCTGATGAGAAACACAGGAGACCTGACAACAGCTCTTGTAAAAACAACATCCCAATTCCACTAAGTCGTTCAGCAGAGAAAGCCTGAGAAGTGCCAACACTCCTGTGAGAAAAGCAGAGAGAGAGAGAGAGAGAGAGAGGGAGGAAAGAAAAAGCAGGTTATTTATAACCAGGCAGCATTAGGGTCTCTCCAGTCTCTCCTGCAAACTGGCTGCTGCGGGGAGGTCACTCACAGTCCCTGCCGTGCCCTGGGAGCAGTGTTTGCTCTGGCATCTGGGGCGGCACCAGGCGCTCGGGAGCTGCTCCATGCAGCAGGACACGGCACAGCCCGGAGCAGCGCGCTGAGGTTTGCACAGGAGCTCTCACCTTGGTAAGTGCAGCTCCACATTTGAGGAGGATCGTTTTTATTTGTTTTGAAGGCTGATTTCCATACCTGTGCCTCTGTGGGCAGGAGGCTGCCACGGGCAGAACATGCCAGCGACACGGGTGGCACAGCGGGAGAGCCAGAGCTCCCACACTGCTGGGGAAGCACTTCCCTCCTGCCACCCCTCCTAATGCCCACCCCTCCTAATGCCCACCTCTCCTGATGCCCATCTCTCCTCCTGCCAATTCTCCTCCTGCCCAATTCTCCTCCTGCCCACATCTCCTCCTGCCCATCTCTCCTCATGC